GCAATAATATAATGATTACTAAAAACAAACAAAATAACACCGAAAGTATAGTTTTGTGTGATTTTGAGTACTCGTGTTATACATACCGGGGCTTTGATTTGGGCACTATTTTTGCCGAATGGGGTCGGGGTTTGAATGATTTCGCAAAACAACATGATTTTCCCGAAGACAGTGTCGTCGAGACTTTGATTCAACACTATATCGACGAATCGGTCGCTATTTTTGGACCAAAATATGCTGAAAATAAAATGAATTCAACGCAACAATTGGTGAAAGAGGTGAAACAGTTTACTTTAGCCGCCTATTTGTTTATGATCATGTTGATAATACAAGACCATGAAGGCGAAGATGGTCTACCAATGGATAAGAAATTAATGATTGTAAGTTATGTCAGCATTTTTATGAGTTAACTGTTTTTATTTTGTATTAATTAGGGTTTCGCTGAAATCTGTTTCAAGAATTATATGCATTTGAAAAATCAGTTTTTGGCTCAACAGGCTTTTTAAGAAATGAATGAACCAGGTGAACATTGGCTATCGTATTTTACAGTATCAACATAAATTCAAAATTATTTTTGTTAATACCAAAAATCTTTATTTTCCATATATACTAAAATTTACGAAATTATAAGTAAAATAATTTGAAATAATAAAACGATGATCATGTGAATTTTATCTATAAAAGCGTTTTATAAAAAAGAGTGCTGCATTTATAATTACGAAATTCGTGAAGTTATCAATGCATTCAACAGTAAATTATCAACGTTTTATCAATGTGTCAAACTTTAGTTAATACCCCTAAACATTGTACTGTACAATATACAGTATCTTTAATATGTTATCTAGATTATCAATTATTATAAATTTTAAATTACCAAAATTGTACTAGTCTAAATTAAATATATATATTGAATGAATTATAATGAAAATGGTTAAATTGTTAATAAAAAATATAATAGTTTTATTAAAATAATTGTAAAAGCTGTTTAATTAAACAAGAATTCTGGATAATATATAAAATGTTGTGTCACGATATGTTTGTTACATACTTATCAGAATAATGTAAAGTATGTAACAAACATATTGTGTAAGTAGTGTTGCATAATATGTTGCAGAATCTGCTATCTATTGTGTAACATATTATGCAACGCATGCGTTGTTACTGTTTTGGAGATAAACATTGCGATGATATAATGGATTACATATACACATGGTGATTTTTGAAATATTTATATATTTACACAGATTTAAATGAGGAAACAACCTATTATTCAAAATCTTAAGTTTGCTGAATTTGATCGTGGTTTTTTAGTTTTGATAACAACTAATAACAATTAAAATAAAATCATTATTTGCTTTTATACGTGATATTCAATATTGAATTTTAATAATTAAAAACAAATTAAAGAAAAAATTGTATTATTTAATTGAGACAAATAATGGATTCAAAAAGTGTTTCCAATGATAAGAAGGAATTGAAGGACGCGACCAATTCTGATGACTCGAAACCACAAGAATTAAAGTTAAGAAAAGACGAAACACCCGAAGGTATTGAAGAGAAATGTTTGCAATTATGCAAAGAGTATTTGTCGGGCGTTTGGACACAACAAACGGTCGACACAATCAGTTTCCGACGAATCAGTGGAGGAATGACTAATCAGTTATATTATTGCGGTCTTAAAGCCGACACCGATGTCAGCGATGATGACGTAAAAGAGGTGGTGATTAGGCTCTATGGCACCAAATTTTCAAAACTTTTTATCGAAATGAGTGATAACTTTAAGAATGAGAGGTTAAGTGATGTGATCACCACTCTTATGGTGTCAGACAATCAATTGGGGCCAAAGGTATTGGGACTCTTTGAAAACGGACAGATTCAGCAATTCATTGAGGTATTCATATAATAACAACCAAAATATTGGATAACAATTAAGACATTTACGGTATATAAAGAACCGACACTTTAAAGTCCCGGAGCAAAAGGACCCGCAATTGAGCGCCGAGTTGTTTAAGAAGATGGCGGGCTTTCACGCCATGGATGTGCCCATCAAGAGAACCAACGGCTGGTTATACGAGAACTTTTTTGACAACTTCTACGACAGAGCCTTCAAAGACGGCTCATTTGATTTGTGCGATGAACTCAAGTGCGAGACATTGAATGCACGGGATTTGCAAACAGAGATCCAATGGCTTAAGGCGGCCATCGATGCCATCGGCAGCCCTATTGTCTTCTCGCACAACGATCTCAAAGGCTATAATATAATGGTCACAAAAGTCAATAACAAAGAGGGGGTAATGCTATGCGATTTTGAGTACTCGTGTTACTCATACCGGGGCTATGACTTTGGCACTGTATTTGCGGAATGGGACCATGGTGATTACACCAAACTTCAGCATTTTCCCGATGATAGTGTAATCGAGACATTGGTTGGCCATTATATCAACGAATCGGTCTCTATTTTTGGGTCAAAATATGCGGACAATAAAATCAATTCAGTTCAACAGTTGATGAAAGAGGTTAAACTGTTTACTCTGGTCTCCAATATGGTTAGCGTAATGTTTGGCATCCAGAATCACCAAGGTGATGCCGCTATACAAAAGGATGGAAATAGAATGATGGTATGTATTGTTGTATATTTTAATTTTCAGTTTTGTTAACGATGTATTCAATTTGTATTGATTAGGGTTTGGTTGACATCGCTTTCAAAAATTATTTCCATTTGAAAAATAAGTTTTTGGCTCAAAATGTGTTTTAATACACTCATGGTATAAATAATGTTAGACATTTCCCTCCCAGGTCAAATATATTCCTGGAAAATAGTTTTAGGAGGAAAGATATTATATCTTCCTGAAAACAGGGAAAATAAATTTAAATGCGGTCAAACAATGACCAGTTGATGCATATAAATATTTTTTAATAACTGAATACATGTATCTTAATATAGTTAAACATATTAGATTAAAATATTTTGTTAAATCTAATCAAATGATTTAATTTAATTTAATTTGTAAATCATTTTTTGAACCAACTTTGAAAAAGCGCCCAAATAATAGACTATTGTTGTGTGAGAGCCTATGCCTTTATGAGAGCTCGTGCCTCATACAATTATATGAAAAATAGCCAAAACTACTGACAGAAATACAACTTTTATTCAAAATTAAAATAAATGATTTTCAAATATGGATACTGTGGGATGTCTTCGAGATAATAGCCGTTCTCAGTATGGCGATAAGATCTATCATCGATGCAATTAGAGCTCGTGCCTCATACAATTATATGAAAAATAGCCAAAACTACTGACAGAAATACAACTTTTATTCAAATATGGATACTGTGGGATGTCTTCGAGATAATAGCCGTTCTCAGTATGGCGATAAGATCTATCATCGATGCAATACTTTTTAAAAATGTCATGGTATTCTCAGCATCATTAAGTGCATTATATGGACCGCTTTAACATTTTTTCTTAAAGTAATACCAGTATAGTCGCCGTAGCCCACAAACCTCATGAGCTCGCCGATGATTATATCATACACACACCGTTGCCCAAACCATATGCATAAACGTAGTGATTATATTGGCCAACTAATAGCCACTGTTGCCAGAGAAAGGCATGGGCTCACCGGCACCGGTGGCACGAGCTCTCTCTTTCTCTCTCTCTCTCTCTCTTTCTTTCTTTCTTTCTCTCTCTAAGCTCTCAGCTCTAACTTCTTGGATAAAAATTGATCCCATAATGAGATCTGTTATCAATGATTGCCGATATATAGACGAGTGGTTCGTTGTAATAGATATTGTGTTTGAAAATGTGTTGCAAACGTACACAACAGTCACATGAAACAAATGCAATGGTTTGCCCATACAATACGTTTAAACACTATGTCTAATAAAAAGTCCACTATTTTTACATTAATGTACTCGTGTCCAGAAAGAGAGCTTGTGCCACCGGTGCCGGTGAGTCCATACCTTTCTTTGGAAACAGTAGCCATTAGTTGGCCAATATAATCAATTGGTTTGTGTAGTTGATTTCTAATTAGTCCCTAATTTAAAGTATAAACCAAATGTTTGTGTTATTCTAGTTGCATTCAAAGTCGATACAAGTGTTTGATTGTGTTATAAATCATGTCATGATATATATGAATAAACAACTCGCCTACTTCCATACACATATACTGCATACTACTTAAGAGTCATTCACTAATACCGTAAACACGTTTATTAGTATAACTTTGCAATGAATAGACAGACAAGTGTGGTTTTTTGAACAAATGTGTCTTTAATTAATATTAAATACGAATATAACAATTTAAAAATATTTTCCCTCGAAAAAGTTAGTTCCCACACCTTTTATATCTTCCGGGAAATTCCCAATTTTTGGGAGGAAAGATATTGGGAAAACAAGAATATTCCCAAACGTGTCTAACGCTAGGTATAAATAATTAATACATTTGTATAATACTTTTATACAACACATAGAAAATGAAATGTTATTTAAATATTAAATTGTGCGTATAATTTGCATCAATACATGTAAAACAAATATTGTATCAAATATTTATGTATTTGAGATATAGATAATTGAATTATAATTTTTATAACCACAAAATGTCACAACAATTGATAGCCGACGGCCAGTCCCTTCGTGTAGCGGCAGTGGGCGCAGTGCTGACGTGTTTCATAGTTGATGACACACTTGCCGGTGCCTTCACGACAGGGACGGGGCTTTTTGAGCCTAAACCGTCTCATGAAAGAGCTGCAGGGAATGCAGAACGAGGTGCTATTTTTGCGGCGAGCCATCAAAGTATCGGCGCATATCTTGCACTGATAGAGCGCAGCGGAACCGGTGCTGTTGTCGCCTGTCTGTTGTCGGGTGGGGTCGACCGGTGGGAACTGTTGGTCATGCAGTCGGTCGAGTGCTGACCTGAGTAAACACAACTGACCAAACGGTATGTGCCCTTCACTCGCCAATCCATTGAAATAGGCGTCCGAACGAATGGCCAGCAGTGTATGAATCGTTGTGAACCCGTTGGCCACCAAATAGTTAATGCTTTTCATCTCGATGCCCCTCACACTCAACAAGTATTCGTAGCAATCCGTTTCGGTCAACAGATCGGCCAACACTAGGGCCGCCGATTGACGCTTAATGGTCTTCATAGACACACTCTCTTTGTTCTTGTTGTTCATAATGTCTAATGACTATCACTTGAATTCAGATAAAATAGTGAATATATCAATAAAACACATACATATAGAGCGCACAAGAGTTGGGCACTACCGGTGCTCTTCACTCGACATCAGCCACTGATCGCTGTTTGAGTACAAGTGTTGCACATGTGATAGAACTGGCGGAGAGTTATAACGAATTGTATTTGAAATGAAAAATAGGTATATTTATTTACCATTGAATATGATTTCCAGACAAACAAATACCTACACATGCAGTTTTACGTGCATTAAAACCAACCGGTTCACTAGTCTGTGTCTGTGTGTCTGTACTGCCAGTTATTGTGTTATTTAATGATTTAGTGTACTTTCAATGATCAGCACTACTCTTCCGCCCGTCCCTCCCATACCTAACCGTTTCTCTCATACATTCCTTAATCAAAACCAGACTTTTATGCCTCTAATGTCTAACGACATCGCCGTCGCGATTACATCACACCTATTGTATGGTTATTAATAAATTTGTCGATGTATTGAATTTGGTGTTCAAATAGCGGCCCATTTCTCGCATTCAAATCAGTGCAAAAAGGATTTTAAATTTTTACAATTTAATTATTTATGAATTATTATTTTTAATAAATAGTTTTCCAACAAATATAAAACTAACATCAATTTTCCACAAAATATTACTGCATCAATAATACATGACAGTATTGATCCAGGTCATTCTATCAAGGCAGAATTGAAATAATATTTAAATATAAAATTAATTTTTTAAAACTCATCTATTAATTATTATCAATGACTAAAATAGTCATTTGTCTTAATGTTCATAAAATATTGAAAACACAGTAACTGTTGATCGGAAACGATATTAAGACTTATATTATCTTAATGTTGAATACAGTAGTGTTTGTTTAATATGACGGCATATCATATAGTGATAGTGTTAATGAAGTGGAGAGTATGACATTAGCTCGAAAGACATCAGCTCGAACAAATATACTTACAAATAAAAAATTAATATAAATTCAATGTTTTTATTATTCTAACCTTTATAAAATCAACTCCAATTAACTTAATTGTTAATAATAGTTATTTTTAAAAATTAAATATGATTAAACTAATTAAAGTATGTTTTGTCGAGCTGATGTCTTTCGAGCTTGTGTCTTTCGAGATTTTGACTTTCGGGCTTGTGTCCTTCGGGATTATGTCTACATCCAATGAAAAGCTACATTCTATAACATACTAGTGCATTTTAGGTGTACATGATTAGATTTAAATAGACCTAATGTCTATTTTATTTAGTGTATAAATAGTATTGAATGCTAAAACTATGTTGTGTATTTAATTATTCATTAGGTTCAATTAATATAACCACGTTAATTTGTAAAATATACTATAATTAAATATAAAATTATTAATACTATAAAATATTGAGCAAAAATGTCAGAAACTCAAAGTAAAACTGTTTCAAACAAATCAGAAGAGATTAAAAGTGTTGAAGAGTTTAATTGGGATAAAATGGCAAAAGTGGAAAGTGAAACACCATCTCATCTGATCGATAAGTGTTTGAAGTTTTGCAAAGACTATTTGGCCGACAATTGGGCCAAACAAACGGTGGACACAATTGAATGCAAACGATTGGGCGGAGGTATGACTAATCAACTTTATTATATGGCCATTCGGGAGCTATCACTCACGAGTACAGCCCCTCAAGAGGTGGTCATAAGGATATATGGGAGCAAACATTTCAATAATTTAGACAATACTAGTGATGAGAGACTTTCAGATGTTATCATCGCTCTAATGGTCGGCGATATTAATTTAGGGCCAAAGATATACGGAGTTTGTGAATGGGGACAGATTTTACATTATTATAAGGTATTGAAATTTTAAATTAAAAATAAACATTATATTATAACAACTTATGCTGTAATCTTTATGCGTTTATCATTAAAAGCACCGACAGTTCAGACAGGATGAGCAAAATGACCCAAAATTGTCGATTAATTCATTTAGGAAATTAGCAAAACTACATTCTCTGGACGTTCCCATCAAACGAACCAATAATTGGTTATTTGAATATTTCGATAATTTTTACGAAATGGCATTCAAAGAGTTCCCAATCAATGATATGATTGAGAAATACAATTGTCAAACATTGAAAAAACACGACCTGAAGGCAGAGCTTGAATGGATGAAGAGTACAGCCATCGCATCCAAGAGTCCGATAGTATTCTCTCACATCGACTTCAGAGGAAGCAATATAATGGTCACCGAACCCAACGATGAGATAATTCTATGCGATTTAGAGTATTCCGGGTATGGGTTCAGGGGTTTTGATTTCGGCACTATATTACTCGAGTGGGGCCGAGGCATGAGTGCTATCAACTCATCACATAAATACGCCGACGATATCATATTAGAGCCCCTCATAAAGGCATACATCGAAGAATCCGTGCATATATTTGGCAAAAAGTTTGCCAAAAATGAAATCAATTCTTACGATCATATCCTAAAGGAGGCGAAAGTGTTTAGTTTAGCGGCCAGTCTTTGGATTGTATTGTTTTGCCTAAGAAATGATGAAAAGAGCGAAACAGCACTTCCAGTTAGTAAAAAAATTATGATGGTAATTATTACTATTTAATTAAATTTTATTTAATTTAGGGTACTTTTACTTAATATTTATTTTTATTTCTAGGGATTTGCGGAATTAAATTTTAAAAATTATTTCGATTTTAAGCGCATGTTTTCCGAACAAAAGTTATTTTAAATTAAATAATTTAAATTACCAATTGTTATCGATGTTTAATATTAACAATAATTGGCCATAATTATCAATAATTGATCATAATTATTAGTCTGATTGACAACTCTGTACTAATGTATAAATAAATATCGTGTTTAATGACAAATGAAACCTGTTTATAATAATTATAATCTTTATGAAATATGAAATGTTTAGTAAAGGTTCCACAATTTTCTTTTAATAATCCTTGAAATTAAATGCTATATAAATAGAGGGACATAGAGTTAAGTTATCCAAAAGTATTCAAAACTTATATTCAATAATAATATCTTTGAACAAATTGTAAGATTCAATGGACACTCGAGTGGAAAGGAAATTGTCGATAGAATTGATACCAGAATTGAAAGGTTTGAAAGACGTTAAAACTTTGGATGACTTGGATTTCGGGAACTTAGAGCTCACAAGAGGTGACACTCCCGACGATATCAAACAGACATGTCTTCAATTGTGTGCAGACTATTTGGGAGACAAATGGACTCAACAAACGGTGGACACCATTGAGTTCAGACGACTGGCCGGCGGTCTAACCAATCAATTGTATTACTGCGCGATCGGTAAGCCCTCAGTGGCCAGCGATGAACCCCAAGAAGTGGTCATTAGAATATACGGACCAAAACATTTCAATAATAAGGACCATGGTGGCAATGAAAGGTTAACTGATGTTATTAATACATTATTGGTTTCTGAGAAAAAATTGGGCCCAAAAGTGTACGGCCTGTTTGAAAGCGGACAGATTCTGGGCTATTATAAAGTAAGCAAATTAATTACGTAATAAGTACTATGTCCATATTTATTATAAGTTACAATGCAATTTATAACAATATAATAAGCTATAATTTATCTAGTATAGTTTATAAAGTTTACATTTGTAATCTAAAACTTTTAAAATGCAAAGCACCGGCAGTTTCGTCTGGAGGAACAGTCAAAGCCAGAACTGGTCGCTCAGGTATTCAAAAAGTTGGCTCAAATTCACGCCATGAAAGTTCCCATTAAAATGAGTCACAACTGGCTGTTTGACGATTACGAGCGCTTCTACCAAATGGGTTACGAAAAGTTTCCCATCAATGATATGATCGCTGAACTCAATCTCCAGACATTCAAGAAATACGATCTCAAAGCGGAGCTGCAATGGCTGAAGGAGGCGGTGGCCGAGTCGGGCAGTCCTGCGGTGTTTTCGCACCACGACTTTCGGGGCAGTAATATAATGGTCACCGAACCCGACGACGAGATACTGTTTTGCGATCTCGAGTACTCGGCGTACGGGTGGCGGGGCTTTGACTTCGGCACCATTTTGGTGGAGTGGGGCCGCACTTTCAGCGAATTCGGCAAATCCGAGAAAGACATACAGAAGTATCCAAACGACGAGACAATCAAAGAGTTGGTGAAAATATATGTCGAAGAGTCGATACGACTATTGGGCCCGAAGTTTGCCAACAATCCGGTCAATTCAATTGATCACATCTTAAGAGAGGCCAAACTCTTCTCTTTGGCTGCGATTATGTTTTTGGTGGTGTTTTCCATCAAAAACGATGTAAGCGATGGCATTAGTCTTCCCATCGATAAGAAACTGTTTATGGTTTGTATTAATGTTGTATATTTTTTCATTAATTGCTCATGGTGATACTTGAAGCCTAATATGTGTGTATTATTTGACTAGCAATGGGGCGAAAATGCTTATGAGGGCTACTTTTACATGAAGGAGATGTTTGGATTTCAATAAATTTTGTGCATTATTTCCGGCAAATATACAGTAAATAATATCAAAGCATTTAAAATGCATATAATTAAGCTAAACATCCAAAATTATTTGTCAAGAATTTTTAAGTAAAACAAAATGTACATAACGTTAATTATAACAATAAAATCATCATTTTATTAAAACAAAACTTTTATTAAACAAAATTTTCTTTTGAAATAATTATTAAAATCAAACAAAATCTGTTGTAAAAGTGTGGATCTGATGTCTTCAGGGGTTCAAAATAACTTACGTTGGGCACTATACCGACCATGGTCGTCCTTGAAAAAATCCTTTGATTCAATGCAGTACAATACACACTGTATATTACCCAGTAGACTGTATTACTTGAAAAAATTTACCTGAAACTTTAACGTTTCCATGGTGAAATAACTATCGCTGAAAATAACAATGAATGCAAAGAATATTCTCAATATTGAGATATTTTGAAATCAATTTTATTAATTATTTGAAATGCATTTTAATCTCTATAACATTTGTTTGACACTTATTTGATAACATATTAACCATTGATCTAAAATCACATGATTTTGTGGTCCATTTGTTTAATATCACTGTCACGGCTAGTGATAGGATTAATTTTGTCTAACATCAAAACAAACTTTTGATAATGATAATGATAAGATTGAAAAGTACATTTTTAAAGTGCAATGTAAGTTCACTATATTCATATTATAAATAGAGGGAAATATCTAATTAAAATTTTAAAATAAAACAACCAACATTTGATGCTAATAATTGTTTTCATTAATTAAATTGATGTTATTTAATTTATAAATTGTAATTAATTAATCTATAATTAAATATAAATTTAAAAATGACTTCAAATGTTGAGCAAAGAATAGCTGAAAGTCAGATAACAAATGGTTTGAAGAATTTACAAGACATTAAAACCATCGAAGAGTTTGATTTGGATAAAGTGGTACTCATTCAGGGCGAGACACCGCCCGATATAGTGGACACATGTCTAAAGTATTGCAAAGAGTATTTGTCCGACAATTGGATCAAACAAACGGTGGACACAATTGAATGCAAACGCCTGAGCGGTGGTATGACTAATCAACTCTATTATGTGGCCATTCGGGAGCCATCGCTCACGAGTACAGCCCCTCAAGAGGTGGTCATAAGGATATATGGAAGCAAACATTTCAACACTAATGAAAGACTCACAGATGTTATCATTGCTTTAATGGTCGGCGATATTAATTTGGGGCCAAAGATATACGGAGTGTCCGAATGGGGACAGATTTTACACTATCATAAAGTTTGTAAAATTATCTAGATAATAAACATTATTATTTAATTGTAATTTCTTTCCATTGATAGCACCGGCAGTTCAGAGTTAATGAGCAAAACGACCCACAATTGTCAACTACTTTGTTTAAGAAATTAGCAAAACTACATTCTCTGGACGTTCCCATCAAACTGGACAATAAGTGGCTCTTTGAATATTTAGATGGCTTTTACGAAATGGCTTTCAAAGAGTTTCCAATCAATGATATGATTGAGGAATACAATTGTCAAACATTGAAAAAACACGACTTGAAGGCAGAGATTGAATGGTTAAAGAGTGCAATTATCGGAGCCAAGAGTCCGATAGTATTCTCTCACATCGACTTCAGAGGAAGCAATATAATGGTCACCGAACCCAACGATGAGATAATTCTATGCGATTTGGAGTATTCCGGGTATGGGTTCAGGGGTTTTGATTTCGGCACTATATTAGTGGAGTGGGGCCGAGGGTTCGGCGATTACAATACTCTGACCACATTTCCCGACAATACAGTAACAGAACCTCTCATAAAGGCATACATCGAAGAATCCGTACAAATATTTGGCGAAGAATTTGGCAAAAATGAAATCAATTCTTACGATCATATCCTAAAGGAGGCGAAAGTGTTTAGTTTAGCGGCGTTTATGTGGCTTATATTGTTTTGCCTCAAAAATGATGAGAACGGCGGTGGTTTACCCCTCAATAAACAAGTGATGATGGTATTCATGAATTTACATTATATTCAGGCTCTTTATATGTTTTACTAATTTTTATTTATTCCTATTCTTAGGGTTTTGCGGAATTGAATTACAAAAACTATTTCATATTTAAGGAAATGTTCACAAATGAAGTTATTTTAAACTAAACAATAGTTAAATAATCATGTGTTATAAATATTTAGTAAACTAATTAGTACTATTGACAATTCTTTACTAATAAATACAATATGGTAATTAAAATGATATTATTAAGATGAAATGAAGTATATTATAATATTTATAAGTTTTAAGATCAAGGCATTAAGAAATATCATGTTAAATGTTTGTTAACATATTTTTCATATCAAATAATTAAAAATTAATTTCATCATAATTTTCGTTATCATTGATTTAAAATATTTCATAATATGGATAACATTTGAACACAATTTGCACCCAAATTTGCACACTTTGCTCCACACAATTACCGCACAAAATGTTCATTCATTTCCTACGATAACAACATATCATGAGATAATTTAGCAATAATTTGCGGCCAAAATGCTTCAATGCTAACGATTACAACTGATTATACAATTATTGGCAAAATTATTATCAATTATATGAAAGTAAAGCTTTATTTTTACAGAATTTATATAATAAACAAAATTTAAAAATTTAAAAGTCAAAGAAAATGTTGAAATATTATAATCAAAATTGATAGAATAGGAAATGATTTAAGTTTCTAAAAATTATCATAAATACGATTATAAACAAAAAATAATAAATTGAATTAAGATTATCATAAAATTCATTAACACATGAAAATAATTATTATTAAATAACGTCATTAAATCGAAAACAGATATCAATACAATCACATAATTAACACATTAAGTTTGACACTAACCCCAACCCCTTCCCCATCCCTCCCAACCCACACAACAGGCATTCACTATGCAATCCATATATCGGTAAAGCATAAAATTTTGGCAATAAATTAATTCATTAAATACTAAATATAAATACGGATTGTTTAGTAATAGTGAACCGCAAAACATGACATGAATTTGTAATTCAACAAAACGTGCGAAGAAATCACCGCAAGTTATCAGAAGATCTCGCGTTTCACTCTCTTCGGTGGGAACACAGGGGCGAAGAGTTGCGTTTGTTTGCGATTCCGACGCAACTGTCGTTCGCAACGGTCGGACATCACACGAGTGCGCGACCCGTGAGTGGCGGTGCGCACGTCGGGCGGCGATGTCTTGGCAATGGGCGGCGGTTGGGAAACACGAGAGTTAACGATGTGTTCTGTGGACAGGTGTAGGTCGAGCTCCGGCTGGGAAGCGAACGACAGGTTACACATGTGACACACCGGCGACTGAAGGCCGGCGCACTCGTTGCGACAGTGATAGCGCACGTGTTTCAATGATAGGGTCATAAAGTCACAGCCAGTAGTGTTGCACTCATAGCACACGCAACCCCTCTCCGTGTGTCGCACCGAGTATTTGGGACCCTTTCCTTTGGGACTGTTGTCGGCACGCATTGGCCGATGATTTCCGTTCGTCTGTCCCGACGGCGTGGGCCTCTCAGTGACCACAACCGACTCGTTTGACTCGTTGGACGTATTGTTGTCCTCCTCTTCAATATCAATGGTCTCTTCGTCAGTCTCAACATCAATGAGAGTCGGATTGATTTTGGTGCCCATTTTGATAAACGGCTTTGAGCTCAAACACATCTTAATCAACTGATCCTCTTGGTCTGAGTCTGAATCTGAATCTATGGGCACTTCTGGTGGTATTTCTGGTGCAATTACTAATGGAACTACTGGTGGCACTACTCGTGGCACTATTGGCGGCACTTCTGGTGGTTTTTCCGCCTTTTGAGGGCTTTCCTGAAACGAAATCCTTCGTCTCGCGAGCTCTTCGTGACCACCATTTCTGAGACGTTCGCCAATCGATTGGTCACTCGTGTCGGCATCGGATCTACTGCTCAACTCATTAATACGAGTGTTGAGTTTAGTTTCATTCGCTTTATATCTGTGGCCACAAAACCAAACAAATAATTAATACAAACTTCAAAGACAATCACACAAAAGGACTCACTTCTCGATCCGTTCGGTAAGCGTTTTAATTAGTTTCTTATAATCAGTTTCTTTCGCCCCAAACGTCTGAAGACGTCTATGCAGTGACTGATTGTCGCTCTTCTCGATTTCCAGTTTGGTCTCCAAGTGTTTGATCTGTTTCTTGAGCTCCGGATCGGCGGCTGAGCCGGCGTTGGGATGAGAGCACTGCCTATAGTTCCTGATATTGGCCACAATGTCCGCCTCGGGCTTCACATCTTGTCCGTCCAGTATTTGGTCCACAAACGAGTTGAGCAACAGTTCCATGAGTCGGGTGTCCACGCATTGTCTTCCGTCCAACTCACGCAAAATGAAGTCACGTTTGGTCTTGATTTTGATGACCAACTCCTTAACGTTGCCGATCACTGACTTCAAGTTACCCGACATTGTCTTCGGCACCGATTATCACACGTCAAGCGGGGGAACAAAGACAGAGGGATCAGATGCGGTGATCATGAGATGCGGTCAACCAGTGATTGTTGACTACAAAGCGGAGTCCATTGGCGCTCATGTCATGCATTCAATGCATGATTTCAATGCATTTCAATGGCATTCAATGCCTTCACTTCCAAAGGGAAGCCAATCGTACAGTAATTATGTGTTGATATGCTGTACAACAATAGCGCTCACCTGTGCTCTCATTGCCATCATTACGAGCGATGCTGTAATGGAATGCATGGCTAGACTATAGGCGAGAGTACAGCCAAGCGGTAACTATTGTCACAACAGCACAATTGCAGTCAATATTAAGCATCACATCATTTATGGCACACTTTTTATTGTTATTGTTTTGGTGTTGACTTGCATTGAGTGAAAGTGTTGTGTTTTGGGCGATGGAAGCGATGGTCAGATCCGGTGATTGTCTCATCGATGGTCGCGTATAGCAGTGGCCGATGAGATGAAGAGTCAATACTCGACACTGTCTGACGCTTTGCTGGACTCGAGAGTGCCGTTGAGGTCGGAGGAAGAGTTTCGGTTGGGAATCACTTTCAATGCAAAGGTATTGTCAATGTCTTGAGATGTGAGACAAATAGCATAACATATAATGACATACGCTTTGTGTGGATCAGCTGATAGGTTGTGGACCAGTGCCGCGACCGAACTCGCGGGTGGAGATCGTGGCGGCGATGCGACGGATCCGCAGCGACTGTCGGACCCGAAAGGATAAGAAGCGCAAAGTGTTGCTCACAGTGTCCTACGAAGGCGTTCGGGTGTCCCTCTCGGGCCGCACCGCCTCATCCATGCTATGTCTCGCTCAGCATCCGATCCATCGGATCTTCTATGTCTCGCACGACTCATTGGATTTGCATATCTTCTCATACATAGCACGCGATGGCAACTCATTCAAGTGTCTCGTCTTGAAAGCGGCCAAACAGTCGGTCGCCGTCAACGTTGTCCGCACTATCGGTCAGGCGTTTGAATTGTGCCATAAGATGGCTTTGGCCGACACGACCGTCGGTCACGACATGTGCGCCAATAGTAACACCAACACAACCAATACGCCCGACAACACCACCACAACAGCCACAACCCAAGCACTCAACCAAACAAACAATACTCAAATGGAAAGCCTGTTACGAGACGTGGACTCAAAGTTAGACAAATTGGCCGAAAGGGTCTCATCACTGGAGGAACAGATCACTACACTTGTGCTGAAAGTGAGCGCCGCTAACAATACTCACTCGTCATATGCAAAGACATTGAATTCTCCCGACTCTCTGCTCTCTTCCCCCTCCGCGACAAACAATCTCATTGGAGACCTCTTTCAGATCACTAACAATCCTATATAACACAAATCCATATGAAATATATATATTATATTAATTAATGTATAAAATATTTTAATCTAAAAACACATCACTTTTATCGCACACATCAAAACAGTCGGACATTTAATTTCCACCAATAATTCATCCCCTTTTAAACCAATCATTGATTTTAAAACAAAAACAATTAATTTATTTTTAGTCTTCATTTTTTTGTCCAATGATTGCATTTTAATGTTTATTTAAATTTGAAAAGTTAACGATTAAATGAATTTCAATGTTATCTTTTAATTATGAATTAATATAAATGTATTGTTTGGACGAAATTAAATTGCATTTGTGTTCAATCGTCTCGTTTTGTTCATAACCGGCGTCTCTGGCCATGAGTTCGTCGAACTCGCGCTTATGTGTCAACAGATGTTTGCGTAGATTTCCGGCTAATTTGCCGCGAATTCCCTTTGATTTACAATTAGTTACCAAACAATAGGCGATGTTTTCGGTCGAGTCGTACGCAAAGAACCTCCAGACAGAGGACTCGCACTTACGACCACCGGTTGTCCGCCGGTTTGGGTATACGGTATCGCTGGGCATCGGGTCGTCCTTCGGGTTTGTGATGAAATAGTCGTTGATTTCAAACAAATCAAAACTGCGCTCTCCGTTGCCCTCATTGCCGACACTCGTTGTCCGCGAATCCATTGAACACTTGTTCAACACTTTCTTATTGATAGTGATATTCATCTCCAATCGGTTGACAGCTTTAGTGAACTGTTGGAACTGTTTGTGATGTTTGCGTAAATGTCTCTTCAGATTACCGGCCAGTTTCCCTTTGATGCCCTTCGATGTGCACTCTTTCACCAAACAATGGGTGATATTTGTGTCGGAATCGTATTTAAAGTACTTCCAGACCAGCGATCGGCTGTGCCTTTGGCCCGCTTTGGCCTCAAACTCGACGCACTCCGCGGTATCGCAACACTTGGGGTAACCGTTGTCTGCGAACGCGTCGGACACGGAATTATTGTCATCGCTATTGGTCTCGATATCTTCCGAATCCATTCCGCCGGAGTTGGGATCAATCGGGCAATCGATGTCTGTGTTATCGACGGCCAATATCTGAACGCATTGCACGGCATTTGTACACCTATTCAGACAATACAATCGGTATCGTAAACAATGTCTTCGCCATCTTTGTAACAGACCTGCTGTGCATACTATTCGTACAATTGTTCACTCGGTTATCGTTGTGGCCATCCATTTGGTCCACTTGTCTGCAGAAACACAATAGACATTAAGATATGAGTAAACATATCTCCAAATATGAATGGTATGAATGGTTACCCATTATTAGGGATCAGATGATTGGCCAAAATGACCCCATTGTTAGCGTTCTTGTCATCGATGGCCACGTCTTGAGCCGAGTGGTCGTCGTATGGGATGTGCTGATCGGCGGACAACTGTCTCAAGCGATGTCTCAATTTGCAAATCTCTCTCACTTTCCACTCAATGATAGCCTTATATGTGTTGTGAATGAGAGTCAAGTCGTCCAACAGAGCGGTCCGTCCGCTGCCGTCGGCCACCAATTGTCGCACTTTGTGGCCAATACTGGCCATCAGTTCATCGCAATCGCATTCATCCATCGCTTCCGCTCTTCAATACATTTGTCCCACAATTATATCAACACTTAATTCATTGAATAAATCACTATTTGTTACGCGTTTTGTTGTTATTGTGTTTCACTATTTGTTGTTAATGTCCATCAATTATGTCATGTTTTTTGCCCAAACTTTTTGACCACTAATTAGTTTTAAATCATAATTAAAGCCAATTTCAGTACACATTTATTTTAATTACATGTTTATATGAATGATTTAATTTAATTAATTTAATCCTTTTAACTGTTTATAACAAATCTTTATTAGTAATTAAGTTATTAACATATTATCGAAAGACCCGTTTGTTATAAACGGGACATCATTTGTAATGTAAACAAAATAACAACTGTTTTTGTCAAAAACTTTTTGACAACTCTTTAAATGACTTGAAATACAAAATATAATGAAATCAATGTTTTTTGAATGCATTTACAATTAAACAGTGATTTAAATGCAAACGATTAGTCCATTTGCTATACATTTATGTCTATTATATTAATAATGTTTGCACCAAAATTAACATCACTATTAATTTTAATATAAATAAATGGTTAACAAAACAAATAATAAATACTTTTAAGTTTTGCAGTTTTAGACTATTTAATGGCTAAACAAATCTCATTACAGTTATCTCATGAGCGATGGTCTGACGGACACTGACGAGTGTATTGCCCAAGAAGTTGTGGCCATATCTATGCCATTCAGTCGGCCATAAGATGTCCTTATGATAGGCACCGATACATACGCCCCAAATGGGGTCCTGATATTTCATGTGTCCGGCGATGTCTTGAGCGGCAACTTCGGCCAAAACGGCTGATCCGGTCGACAGTAACCACTTTTTGAGCGCCGGGTTTTGCGTAAACTTTGCGTAAAGTATTTGCGGCACTCTTTGATCCCTGGCTTCGACCCACTTGTGGGCATCAAATGGCTTCACCTCTCGGCCCAACCTCTTTGCCATCCACGGCGACCGGCATTTGAGCACTTTATCGGCCGTGATTTGGTCGCCAAAAGTGATGGCCTTTTCGTACATAATAGCGCACTCGGAGTACTCGAAGTGGTGTCCATTGTATGTGAAGCTAGTTTTGTAAAAGTTGGACAGAGGGCTGGCGTTGGAAAACCCGCCGTAGCCTAACATTTGGCCATCGCTTGAATACACCGACACGTCGTTACCCTTTTGTACGATTTTGTTCATTATATCTGTTGTTATAATTATTGTTATTGAAATGTGTGTCGACTTTTATACTAACTTATATGGCAATAGTCTGGACTCCAGACTCCAGACTCTGGAGTGGTTTACCAAACGTTATCATTTCAATTCATTTCCACACGTTTTGCAAATTGCAATATATTGTCAACAATACTGTATATCAAGGTTACCATAGAGTTGTGATTTTCCATCAATTGATTGCTTCATGTTTTGCATATAAATAAAGTATATTTTATATGAAATCGTTGTTTTAATCATTTAGTTAAATCAAAATACAAAGTATGTGAAAACAAAAGTTCTGAAAAGTTTTTAAAAAATGGTGTAAAAAAATTATGTAAATGTTATATGAATTTGAAATGTTTTACAGGAATTATAATTCAAATAATTAGTAAATGAAAGCATTTATATCAACGATATTTTCACACTTTTTTACGCAATCTTTCAATTGTCTTATCAAACATATAGTCATCAGTGAATCCATTGATTTTCTTCAGATAATCCTTGTCTTCGAGAATCAATTTTTCAAATGTTTTATCAATGAATTTCTTCACAGAAATCATCAAAGAATTGATTTTATAATCGAAACTAATTCTTGAAACCAATTCCAGGTTCTCTTCAGTAATGTTTGCTTTGAATTGGTTTTCAAAATAAATGAGAAGTCGTTTGATTTGAAACCTATCGGCGAGTCTATAGACTTCGTACTGAAAGTCCAAACCAATTAACATATCCTCTGAATCGATGGCCAATTCGTGCGAATACAAGTACCAAATGATTGTTTTGAACGCCTCGTGAGTCGTGTCTTGGATTTCAATCTCTTTGTCCTCACTTTCGGTATAATTTCCCGAAAACATTGACCGAAAATAATTACTTTTATAGATCAACAACTCTTTGAGGGCAGGAATCTGTTTGCCCTCAACTTTGAACACAATATTACACTCGGATTCGTTCGTAAAGTAAATCACTTCCGGATTCAAATCAACACATTTCTAAATAAATAAATTAAATTTTAAAAAAAGTTAAACATAAAAAGTGTTTACCCTTTGAATTGTGCCAAAAATATTGCCCTCATTTGAGCGCATAATCACACCATAGGGTCGATCGGCGCTGACCTTCGCCTCCACAACAATTGTATTGTCTTTAATGAACCCCTTTTCGTCGTTCAATAGATCCTTCACAATAAAAGCAAATTAACCATATATTTAATGTTTATATAAATAAAAATATGAAAGTATGTAAATCACCTGAAAAGCAATGAATTGTGGGAAACCGTAACCACACTTTGATTCAATTGGGAATTTACGCTCAAAGTCTGTAATCAAAACCAAAAATCAATTCACAATAACATGCTATTTGTCGGACACAAGTGTTGTGTCGGGTGTGTGTGTCTATCGGGAAGCACTCACTTTTGATAATGTTGTGTCCGTTAGGCGACTGTGCGACGAGTGTCAGCTTAACCCTCACATTACAACTACAATTGCTAACGAGGTGTCTGCGGAGGAAATGAAAAGATAATAATAATTGTCAACATTTAGTGGTAAAACAATTGACGATTACATACGTTAACCACAAACAACGGACATAAAAGCTGCAGTATTTAGTTATCACTTCCGACGGCGGGTCACCACTAGTGGTGTTCACTTCATAAGTGTTGACCATTATTTGCCTAATATTACACAGTATTAACTAAATGAATGATAAAGTCGGGACGGG